CAAAAAAAAAAAAACAGATACATTTTTTGCTTGAGTTCCGGATGATTTTTTTTCTTCTTTCATATATATGTCTCATAGAAAAAAAATGTGAAACCAAAAGAAAAAACGGAAATTCAAATTCAAAAAACTGAAATAAACTTTATAATCCAGAGACAGTTCTTTGCTTCAAAACTACCATCATCAGTCATATATGATGAAGAACATTAGTGAAAAAAAAAGAAAATTCGATCAATTTTTGGTTCTGTTGATTTTTTTAGTTGAAAACTTTTGTCCAGAAACCAGAAAAAAAACATAATGATAAAGTCAAAACTGATTAAAAAAAAGACGAAAAGTAACTATTACATACATACCCATTGCCCTTTTAAGATGAAATCAAACATTTGAAAAAATATGATTGATATGTTCAGCAAAGAATTTTGTGCTTGTTAATCAAGCTGCTGTTCTGTTCTGCTATTCTGTTTTTCTTTTTTTTTTTGTTTTTGTTTTGTTGAATTTTGTAAACATTCGTAAAAATTAAATTAGAATATTCTGCCAATGACATTTATGCAAAACATTTTATTTCGCTCATTATTTCATTTATTCAGTTGTAATACAATTCAAATTCAACCATTAACACTTTCCATACACTTTATTTTCTTCATTTGATTAATTGACAATAATGAAATCAACGAATTGATGATTTAATCAACGAATTGGTAATGCAAACATGAAGAAAAGGAAAAAAGTTATCCAGAATATTCTTCATTTAAATATATTTTTGGTAACCAAAAAAATATTTCCTATAACAATAATAATAAACTAATTAAATCAAACATTAGGCAAAAGAAAGAAAGTATTTAGGTTGTTTTTCGGAAAAAAGTAAGATTTTAGATTCAAGTTAATTATTGTCATTAACCACCACCGCCACCACCACCACTAACAAGGTTTTTTGCTTTAAAAGAAAAAAACTTCACAACTTTGTAAATTGGGAAAACTTTTTCTTGTCTCAAAAATAAATCTTTGATTTTCCAAACAAACAAATGAATTATATTTGATCATTGGGCAAACATTTATCTTCAGTTTTCTTCAGTTTTTGTCTGATTGGTTATCATTACATTTGGTTACTTTCTTCTTCTTCTACTTTTGATTACAAATTACTAATCACACACATAACATAAATGACTTTAACAAACAAACAAACAAACAAACAGACAAACAGAATTCCAAACTTGTATTACCGTATTTTATTATGTTACTGAAATGTATGTCATTTGTATCATCATTTCCATTAGATGTATGTGTTCAGTGAATGAGTGATACAATGTTTTTCTGATTGAATGAATGAGAAAGAAGGAAAAAGTTTTTGTACTTCCTCAATATCTTACAAAAACAAAAAATTCTTTTACAAATACAATTTGTGTTTTCGGGGGCAATATATATATTCTCAATCATCTATCCCCTTATAAATGATATGAAATCCAAATAGTCAAATAAATGAACAATTTGGACCAGTAAGTAATCAGAAAATCGTATTTGTATGTGTGTAAAGAGGAGAAAAACAAGTTTTTTTTGCTTAACATCAATATAGTATACTATTATATCATCATCAATGAGGATGATGATGTTGGCTATTTTTTTTTCTTTCGATGTAACATGTACATTACCCATTTAATATTATCGTTGTTGTTGAATGTGTGTGTGTATCCTGAATGAATGAATCTTTTCTTTTTCTTTCTGATACAACCTACATTAAACAACATTATTTGAAACAAAAACATAAAGAGAAATCAGAGAATAGAACTTGAATATAATGATTAAATGAATGAATGAACTGTATTTATATTTATATATAGAGGTTATGTGTGATCATCATCAAGGATTGAATATCAAGATTTTTTTCCCATACAAAATGGTTTTGCTTTTTTTTCTTTGTTTTTCTCTCTATTATTGCCGGTTTTTAATGCTATATGAAAAAAAAACACAACGATTCATCATCATTATTTTGTTTTTTCTTCGTTGTTTAGTATAATTCTTTGTTTTGATTTGTAAAAGATTGTACACATAAACGTACAAAGGCAAAAAAGAAAATATCCAAATGACAAATCGAATTGGACTAATTTTTGTCTTTTTTTCCTGCTGAAGAAATTCATTCACGTTTTTTCTTTCGTTTGCAATGATAGTGTGAGAAAAAGAAAAAACTTAAAGAATTCTCATTGACTTTCATCAGATGATGTTAGTACGATAATGAACGAAATTCTTGTTTTTTTTTTCTCTCTCTCCCTGTTCGTTCATTAGCCGTTATTCTACGTAGAGAGAAAATCCAAGGATTCCGGATACCCTAAATGAATCGATATACAGTTGTTGTTGTTATCGATGTTCAATTTACATTAATAATTCTTCTTTTGATTATTAGATCTATACACAATTACAAATCAAAAATCCGTTTCAATTTGTTATCTTTTTCTTTTTCTTTGATGTAGGAAATTGTCCGAATAACGAATGCGAAACGATTTTTCCGAAAAAAAAATAGAATGACAAATGAAAAGATTGCATGTATTTCCATAATGATTAACCATGCGGTAACTAATTATGTGTGTGTGTGTACGGGTTATGTTAATGTATGCTTTAGGGAATGATTAATTAATGATAATAAGAGAACTATGGTATTTAATTTTTGTTGTCGTTTTTTCCAGTTTTATTTCCATATTTTTTATCATTTTAGATGTGAAAAAATAATAACCCTTAGAGAAACAAAAACAAAAAAACTATCAGAATTAATAATGTGAAAGTAAAGTGATTAAAAAACAACAACAAAAAACAAAAAATGTCTGTAATGAGAATGAAAAAAAGGGTTAAAAGTTTTGTTAAAAGATGATTACGATGATGATAATCATTTATATCCATGATAGAGATGAAAAAACCCCCAATTGATTTGGAAAAAGTGATAAAAATTCAAAAAAAACTAGTAATTTTAAACATTGTCTTTGTCTCTCAGTGTGTGTATGTTTGTGAAATTGAACAACATTATTTATTCATATTCCATAAATTTGCCCTACAGTATTCATTCTGGGTTAACAATTTATCATTAAAAAATAAAAAAAAATTCATCCTAATAGTAGTTTGTCAGATTCAGTGATAGACCACCACCAACATTATGGATAAAACAAATGATTTTTTTGCTGTACATTTTCCATATTTTTCAACATTCTTTGGGTTTATTTTTTTAGGTCAAATAACCAATTATATTTGTATTATGGAAAAAAATTTGTTTAGGACGACAATATCAATGTTTGAAAAGAAGAAGCAAGCAAAGAGGATTTTGATATCAGAAAAAAAAATTGATCATTTTTTCCAACCAATAAATCTATGTTATGCGAAGCAAGAAGAAGAAGAAAAAACCCATGGACATCATAATAATTTTCTTTGGTTCTGTGGTCTAAGCCATCAATATTCGGGTTTTTTGTTTTGTCCACCACCAAAACTATCTTGGTAAAAATAACGAGAAATTTTTTTTTTTGAAAATTGAAAATAGATTCTATGGGAATGAATAATGATATATTTATGACAAAAACAATATCCCTGAAAAAAAACAAAACAAAAACCCGAAAAACGGAAAAATAAGAAAATGTTTGCGGAAAAAAATATGGAATGCATAACAACAAAAAGACAACAACAAAACACAAACATAAACGCATAAAACATTGTTTGGACATGGAAAACAAAAACAAAATAATTCATTTTTTGTTTTGTAACCAAATGAAAAAACAAAGAAAATTTTCATCATTATTATTTTTGGAAAATTCTTTGCAAAAAAAAAAAAAAAAAAAATATTCTTGATTATTCATTCAATTGGAATGTTCAACAAAAATTCTTGTTTCCCCCTATTAGAATTTGATTCTCTCTTCTGTTTCCCCGTTGAATTTTTACCTTTTTTTTCATTATTTTCAAAGTTTTGTTTTTTTTGCAAAAGTCAAAAAAAAACCGAACAAAACAAAACTTTTTTTTTTTGTTCACAGAAATTTTCAACCTACATGATTAATTTATTTATTGTTTTTTTTTGTATTCTTGCTAACAAATTATTCTGTCGATTGTAATTACAATCAACTTGTAAAAAAAATATATTCTTGAATATATAAGATTAAAATAAATTATTCATTCCAGAAAATAAAAACCAGAAAATTGAATGTTTATTTACAAATTAATTAAAATAAAATGTTTCTCTCTCTCCCTCTCTTATTGCTTTTGTTTCCGGCAATATAATGATAATAATAATAATAATGTGTTGGATGCGGAAAAACACTATGGCAATGTTCATGATGTTAAATTATTCTGTTTTTTGTTTACCTTATCAAAAATAACTGACAGGAATATATTTATATTTTTCCCCTGTTGCTTGTTTTAGGTAGAATATTTTTCTTTAGCTAGAACTTTTTAATGTTTTCAAGTGCCTCTTCTTTTCTTTTCTTTTCTGCAAAAAAATTCATTTTATTTTCCAGTTTTGGTTCGACAAATTGATTGTCTATGGTAAATATCAGTGAATATAACACTGGAGTATATAATCAAGTGGCAAAACAAAGCAAAAAATCTTCATTCATTTTTTTCGGGTTTTAAAATCTATCGGATATGAATTTAGCTGGAAAATTTTTTTTCCATGCTGCTTCTGCATTTTCTGATAATAAAAAATTAAAATTAATTTTCTTAAACATCATTGAAAAAATTTTCGGCTGAATCTTCATTTTTCCTCCCCCTTCTATCACTTTTTCACTACATCACACACAAACTTTTTTCTCTCGTTAAGCAAGATGATAAATATTTATTTATAGTAATAGTAGTTTCTCTCTCTTATTGATTCTTAGGAATTTTTCACTATTTTCAATTTCCGATTAATTATTTTTTCCATATTTTTTTTACAGGAAATTCTCTCACTTTCATTCACTTTCACTCGTTTCATCAAATTGCTGTCTACATGTAAATTTATCGATAATGAAAAAATTTTTTTTCTTCCAAATGATTAAAGAAAAACTATTATCATTATCATTATCATCAACATCATCAAAATAATATAATATGGGCGTTCTACCTGCATCTGTACGTCCAATTGGTCCAATAATTAATCATCATTCAATAAATAGAATGGGAAATCGTTCAACATTTAATATACAATTATTTGATGGTTTTACTGATAATTTAGCATTTTTAATACCATTAGGTATTGGCCTATTAACACTTTCATTATTAACATTTTTGGGTAATGCAATGGTTGTACATGCAATACGTACTGAACGTAAACTTCATACGGTATGTTAAAGATTTCTTCTTCTTCATTTTTCTTTGTTAATTTGCCTCTCTAAAGTTGTTGATGATGATCATAGTGTTAATGATAAGAATGTTGTTGTTTTTTTTCATAGAAATTCATTCGATTCACAGAGAAAAAAGAAAAATTGAGTTCTTGGTAGACAAAAAAAAATTACTGTATCATTTGCGAATCATTTCAAGAAAAAAAAAACATCCGAATCTTTTAGAAAATCTGTTCACAAATAGCCCTATCATTATCATCACATTATCCTTTTTCTATAATCATTCAGATTCAGAATAGTAGAGCAGAAACAAAAACGAGAAACGAAAACTTATCAAATAAATTAGCCTGATTTAAATCAAATCGGCCATATTTGATTACTTCTGGTAACAACAACCAGAAAGAAAAGAAAACCACTTACATACAGAAATTTCTGTTATCGTAATTAAAAATCTTCAAGGATTTTTTTCTTAAATATATGTTATATGTGAAGAAGAAGAAAAAGAAAAAGAAAAACTCATCATCCTGATGATGATGATGATAATCAAAGAATCTTATGACAATCAATCTTTATTGTTTAATGAAAAGAAAATTCTGCTGCTGCTACAGTGTTAAATTTGAAAATAATTTTTCTTCAAACACACGGTTGTAAAATTATCCTTATTTTTTAAAAAAAAGAAAAATTTCAAAATTATACGGTTCACCATTACAAATGTTGAAAAATTTCGTAGCTTTGCATCATTTGAAACACAAACTAAATCACCATTATTATCAACACATATATATCCGATAGGGATTTTAGCTTCTTCTTTTCTTTTGCCTTTGATTTTGATTTAACGAGACTTTCACCAAAGAAGAAAAATCCATTATTAAAAATTTATAAAGAAAGAAAGTAAGTGTGTGTTGTGAGAAAAAAATGATGATGATGATGATTTTCTTAGGCCCAGAACTCTGTTGAAAATGTGCTAAAAAGCTTAATTTTTCTTAGCTTTCCTAGCTGTTTTTTTTTCAGAAGAAGAAGAAAAAGATTAAAAATCCAAATCCATTTTTTTCTCTTTCTATTATTATATGATATTAGTGTTTGTGTTTCAAATAATAATAATATAATTTTCAATTTTCGTTTACCTTCGTTCATCATGAAAAAAAGTCCTTGTCCAATGTTTTCTACCAATCATCATTCGGGAAATATGAAAATTCTGGCCAAAAAAAAAATGTCATCAATATTTGCTTGTTTGTTATGAAGGAAAGCAAATGAATGAAATGAATGATAAATAAGAAGATAATTTCATTGAATAAGAAGAAAAAGGAGGGGGAAGATAACAAACAAGATTGACAAATAGAAAATGATGATAAAATTTTCATTAGTTTTTTATATACACAGAGAAAAATTATTAATGTGAAATGAATGAATAAATAAATAATAATAAAGTTATACAGTGTCTCTCTGTATCTATATTTTCTATTCTTATTTTGGAAGAAACATGACCCGTAAAAAAAATGAATGATCTAATAACATTTACATGATGATAACATTATTTTTTTTCTAGTCATAATCCATCTATGTCAACATTCATTATCGATTATTATGTATTTTATATTATTGACTTTTTTCTTTCCCTTCCTTTTATTCATTTTGTAATGATTAATATAAAATGAATATTCTTAGAAGGTTCGATGTGTTTTTTTCTGTTAATCTATTTATCTGTTTAACTTTTCTTGCTTTTTTCTTTTGTCTTTCTTTTTTTCAATCAAGGTTTCCAATATGTTTATATTAAGTTTAGCAATAGCTGATCTAATTGTTGGTCTTATTGTTATGCCATTAAGTTCAACATATGTTATATTTGGTGATTGGATACTTGGCATATTTGTTTGTCAATTATGGTTAGTTATTGATTATACAGCATCAACAGCATCAATATTTAATTTATTAATATTATCATTGGATCGTTATTGGTCAATACGTTCACCATTAAAATATCTTTGTAAACGTACTAAAAAAAGAGCATTAGCAATGATTGGTATTGTTTGGATGATATCAGCATTATGGGCAATACCTATTATTGGTATGTATTTTTTAACAGATTTTTTTTTTGTTTTGCTGTTTGTTAACACAGACCTATCCTTAAAAAGAAATTAATTCACAATAGTAATTCTACCGAAAAATTTCTCATAGAGAATTTAATTATTGTTCTGTTTTTCTCCTCGTTGTTGTCTTCAACAATTCATCACATTAAAAATGCATTAAATTAAATTTTTTTCTTTCCTTTCCTTTCTTTCATTCTTCTGTTCGTCAGTGAAGCCAACATTTTTTTTACAAAGTCTTTTTTGGCCCTTCGTTTCTTTTCTTGAAAATGTTTAAAAAGGATTGGTGGTGGTTGGTTGTATAATTTCTTCTTCTCTGCTCTGCTTCCTCTATAACAATGTAATTTATCATGTCACCATAAATAAAAAATGAATAGAGGAAGAAAAAAAAAGATGGAAACTTGAGGTTTATTTTTTTTCTAATACACTTCATTATCATCCTTGTGTGAAGATAATTCATTGTGTGTGTGTATCTCGAATAACGTTCAAATACTTTACTTTGATATAGCCAAACCATTATCTATCTTTAAACAGAAAAACAACAACAAACTTTTTTGTTTTGTTTTTTTTTTGGAAAGAAAGTTTAATTCTTGACTCTAGGATGCTAAGAAAATTGTGAATTTGTTTTTTCCTTTCAGTTTTTTTCCTACTACTCTCTTGAGCTCAATTATTTTCATTGTTTAGAAAATTTTTTATTATCATCATTGGATGCGGTGAATCTTTACTGTTGTTGTTGCGTTTCAACTTTTGAAATTTCTTTCTGGCTTTCTTTTTCACACCAAAATTATCGTTATCATCATTTGATGAATGATCGAACGAAAAACAATATCTCCATCTGAATATTTTTTCGCAAATAAAACTTCGTTCGATGGCTGTTGACAGAATATTCTTTTGCAAAATTTCACTTGTTGTTGTTCACTGTATGTAAAAGCAGAAAAAAATATGCGTGACAAATCAATTGGCGAGGGGAAAGAGGATTTTTTTCGAAAAACTTTTCTCTTTTTTTATTTTGTAAAAAATTGTGAAAACATTTCTCTCAGAATGTTCCAACAACAGAACAGAGAAATTGACAAATCAAAGAATCATGCATTTTTTCTGCAGTTCTCTCTCTCTCTCTCTCCCTTCAAAAAATTTGAATTTCAATTTGCATGGAAGCAAAAAAATAAAAAATAAATTCCAAGTTTGAATTCAAATTCAAATTCAAAAAAAAGGAAAAGAGAAAAAAAAATGACAAAAGTGTGAAAGTTGATAAGACGAAAGAAAGAAGATAGAAAGAAAAAAATTCTTGTAAGCGAGTAATTTCCTTTCAATTTCACTTTTCTGATCTTGTTTTTGTTTGTTTGTCTGTTTGTTTGTATGTGTGAAATGCAATTTCACATTTTTTTTTCTTCTTCTTTTCAAATTTTTCTTATCAATTTCATATTTTTTTTCCCTGTAATCAACAACGACGACAAGAAAAAAAAATCCTGGCAATGATGTTATCAAAAAATGAAAAAAAAGAAAAGCTGGTTATTGAAATCAATAGAAAAGGAAATGTGTGAAAAAAAACATACAGGAATTTATGTCAATTGATTGGAATTCATTTCATTTTTTTGAACATTTCATTTTTCTTGTTGAACATTATTTACAACAACAACAACGACAAATGATTGAAAATTGATTTTTGTTTGAAATGAATCGATGATTTATGGTGGTGTCAGTGGTGGTGATCCAATTTTGTCGAAAGTTTTCTCTTTCTGTTGATTAGATTGATTGATTGATGTTTTGCGTATATCCTGACAAACCAATTCAAGAAAAGAAAAACAGAAAAATGTGTGTTTTTGAAAAATACTTATTAAGTCAATTGATTAAGGTAGTGAGCAGCATCAAAAATCAAATTCTTCATATATGATGTTATCTCAACCCAAAAACCAAAAATCAAACAAGATTTTTCAAAGAATTGAAACAAAAAAAATGCTTCAATATTTTTTTTGCTGAAATCAAAAGTTTCATACAAATGTTTGACTCGGCAATTTTTGCTTAGTTGAAATAAAATGAAACGCATTCCTAGTGATAATCAATTTCCCAAGAAAAATAAGAATCAATCATCATAATTGCTTTGCTTATGTCATTTTCATTGATGAAAATTTTCTCGTTTCTAAGTATTTTTGAATAAAAGCATCATTAAGGCCAAAGAATTTTTCTTTGCAAACCACATAAATGGACCAAAAAACGAAACCATGACAATTTAATTTGAATGATGATTTCCTATTTCCTCGAATTTTTTCAAATAATTATCGTTATTATTATCCGAAAACTTGAAATTGTATTGTCCATTATGTTGATTTCTTGATTCATTTGTTTTCCTATTGAAATCTGTTCTGTTTTACAACATAAAATCCATCAGTTTTTTTCTCCATCAGTTTTTTGAAAATTGCGATGATGAAAATCATCTCATGCTGTGTGTATGTTTGTCACATTATCCTGATGATTGCAGTAGTTATTTGACATTTATATACTTTGGTTCTTTTTTTTCATTGTCTTGGATTATGAATATAATATTTTTTTCCACAGAAAACCAAGAAAAAAAACCACAAGATTATGATGACAGACGACGAAAATGAAATTAAAATGAAAAAAATGAAAATTGATTAAAAAAAAAAAATTCTTGAATTTAATTCCATTCGAAAGCAAAAAGAGAATTTCAGTAAAAAGTGCAAAAAATAACCAGAATTGCCTCACACAGTTTCGTATATGAAATTATGTTTGAACAGTGAATTTTCAAACATTTTCTTTTCCATTTTTCTTTTCCATTTTTTCTAAAACTCAATTCATTCAATTTCGCTCGATTTATTTTTTCCGATTTTATTTACTCAAATGTCTAACGATACTTTTTTTTCTTCTTTCTTCTCGTCGTTATTCTTGTATCAAATATGGTTGACCGAATTGATTATTGAATTGGACTGAAGGTCAAAAATTCATTTTTTATTTTCCTTCAAATTTCTGTAATTTTTTTCTGTTTTGGTTTTGTAAAAGTAGAAACAACAAACAAAAAATCAATCGAATGAATCAAATGAAGCTGAGAAAAGAAGAAGAAGAAAACAACGACAAAAATCTTCAATCCACGAATGTTGTTTGTTTTGTTTGTTGTTTTCTCTAAAACAATCAAAAAGGAAGAATCAAGAATCAAGAAAATATGCTTCATCGATTGTCTTTAGTGTCGTTTGTTCATTTCTCCAAATCCACCACTACTGTAAATCGGGTGGAGATTGTCAATCGACAGAAAAAAACCGAAATTCCGTGCTACTTCTAATGATGATCATTTACTATTCACCCAAAAATTCTGGTAGCAAAAATGGAAAACAAAATTTGTCAAACATTCAAGGTTTTGGTCGCATTCACTAACTCACTTGATCATGAGAAAACGCTTAATCGATTATCTTTTTTTTGGGAATTTTTTTATATTATCAGTTATTGAAATATTTATATTTCTCTTGATAAATGTATGGCAACACGAAAGTTCTTGTTTTCTGTATTTTTCGTATTTTTCATTTTTCTGTTTTTGTTGTTATGAAAATTATTTTCCGGTAAATTAAAGATTTAACCAAATCAAGTTTCTTCTACTGCAAATGTTTTATTATCACGAAACTTGAAAACAGAAAAAATATTCGTAAAATGATAATGATTGTCCCTCGAAGAAATTTTCTCAATTTGGTAGTTTGGTTTTTTCTTCTTTGTTCAAATCAATTTGTAATCAAATTCAATTGCAGAATCGAAGGAAATTTTGAAAAATTCCTTCCCCGCCAGATGAACAAAAATGATTGTTATGTGTGTGTATAGACTTGTAGACAATTTTCTTATCTTGGTTTTTACCGTTTTTTTTTCTCAATTTGCTTTTGGGTCGAATAAGAAAACAAATTTAAAATTACTAAATTCTACAATGATGATGATGATGAAGTAAAGTTATTTTTTTTTATAAAAAAACGAAAAATTCACAAATGTCGAAAGCTTTTTTTTTACAAATTTCATGTCCATTATATATTTGGGTTCTCTTTTTCTCTCTTAATGGCCCTAGATGATGATGATGATCGTTTATCGTTACAATTCTTTCTCTCTCTCTCTTGCATTCGTTTTTGTATTTGTATTTTATTTTCTCAACAATTTGAAATAGAATGGAATTCGGTCATGAACGATTCATTTGATTTTGGGAAATTTTATCCGGAAAATTCCAATAAAAAAAACCAAACAAATGGATTTTAATCTGAGAGCAAAAGAGAGAAAGAGAGAGAAACACAAGAAATAAATGTGAATAAATGCAAATCGAATGTTCTTCTTCTTCTTCTTCTTTCAGCAATAAATCATGATGAATGATATTAATTTTCATTTTATCATTCATTTTCTTCATTGAATGAATTATTGATTTTTAATTTCTACTGTCGAAGGAAAACGAAATCATATTTTCTAATTTAAAAAAAAACATTCAAACATTTTTTCACATTTCAAATTTTTCTTGTTATTTAACAAGAAAAGTTTCCAAAAACACACTACCTACAATATGATACACCAAAAAAACAGCCATTTTACATTTCATTCATAAGTTCTTCTTTTCACTTGATTCTGATTCTTTTTTTCTCCCAGTTCAAATGCAAAAAAGCAAATTCTGTAATCAGAAATGGAAAAGTTTACTTTTTTTCAAAGCAAATCTTGTCAAACATTTTTTTTGATATTGAAATGAATGAGAGAGAAAGGGTGAAATAAATTATTATTTTTTTTCTCGTTGATCATTTCAATGTATGTTTTTTGGATTTGATTTAATTTGATTTATGATGTTGATGAGGTAATGATCAGAAAGAAAGCAAAAATCAAAGCTAAAATAAACAACCCGAAAAAAATTGCCAATCAGTTCAGTTCATTTGCCTTTTTTTCTTTTCCCCCATAAACTATCCATCTTTCTCTTTCTCTCTGTAAATACATTCAAATTCAGTGGGGGAAAAAAATATAGCCTTAAGGTTTGTTTTTCATAATGAATCTGTTTGATAGTTATGTAAATATATTTTTTTGGTATTGAATTGCTGGAATGTTTGTTCGTTAGTTGAACGAAAAACAACAAAAAAACAAAAAATGACATTTGAAAATCATTTTGATGTTTTTCATATTTTGCCATTTATTAAACAAAACACACAATTTGCATGTTTTCTGATTTTTGTAAGTTTTCCCTGATTTTCGTTTTCAAAATTAGTCCACATCATTAGCACAGAATCGAAAGAATTTCGCATGGAAAATCTGTAGATGATGATAAATTTGCTGTTGTTGTTGTTGTTGCCAACCACAAAATTGTTCATTTGCTGTTGTTGTTGTTGTTGAAAATAAATTTCCAATCAATTGTTATTACAATTTTGCTTCTGCCTAAAAGTTTACAACGTAAAGTTTACAATTTAATTTCTTCATTCACTTTTTGTTTTTCATTTCAAGTTTTGGTTGAATACAAAAAAAAAATTGGAAATGAAAGTTGCAAAAAATAAAAGTTTTTTTATCAAATTTGATTTTTAGGCCTATAAAATGTGAATTTTACGAGATGAATCTATCTCTCTCTCTCTCTCTCTTGCTTTGTCATTTCATTCATCAAAATGAAAAATGCAGCAAAAAAAGAAAAACCTTGGACTCGAAATGAAATTCTCTCTATTTTTTTTCAATTCAATCGTTTTATTTTCAACAGAAAAAACCTTGTCTAATTCAACAACAACAACAACAAAAGTTGATATCATGTTTTGGTCTTTTTCTTTTTCTTTTCGCCAGAATATTATCAAACGTAACAGATGTTTTGGCTTGGATGACGTTTCTATAGAAAAAGTTTATTGTTGTTGTTGTTGATATTTTACCGGGGAAAAAAAATTCTTTCATTTCTAAATCAAACACACCGAGATAGATACAGAGAATGAATTAAAATGAATTTGAATCATATTTACTCAATCATCAAGTTTGTTTCAACACAAGGAAATACAATGTATTTGCAAAATTCATAGATAGAATGTATGTGTCCATGTCATTTCTTTTGTTTTGTTTTGAAACAAGTTTTTTTGGACATTCAAAACAAACACAGAATCATTGAATGATTTTCAACCTGAATAATTTTTGCTTATAAACGTTTATTGGTTATCCTTTCTACTAAACTAATTTTCTGGCTATCATTTTTTTTTTTTGTTTTTCAAAAAATTAAAGGTTGGCATCTTTGGTATAATGATGGTATACGTAAACATCCGAATAATGTTTGTGAAACGGAATTTTCCGATTCAGTTGTATTTAAAATAACAACATCGATTGCAAATTTTCTTGTACCAATGACATTAATGATGATTTTATATTATAAAATATTTCGTGAAATTAAACGTCGTGGTAATTTTAGTGATACAATTAATCATAATCGTCGTCATAATAATAATAATAATAAATCATCATCCATAATGATATTAATGAAAAAAAATTCAAAAAATAATCAAAGTATATCATCAACAACAACAGATCAAAAACAACAACAACAACAAAGTGATAAACAACAACAACAACAACAGTTACGTAAACATTATCATCAAAAACATTCATCAATGATGATGGCAACGACAACAACAACAACAAATGGAATGAATATTACATTAACTAAAAATCAATCAAATTTTCCAAAACGTTGTTCATCATTAATGAAAAAATCATCCAACAATATGACAATCATTAAAAATCCAACCGCTACTTCTAATCTTGATCAATGTAATCGTTGTCATCGTCGTAAACAATCAATGACAGCAACCGCAACAACAGCGCCATCCGTATCAAATCGTTTTTTATCAATGAATTTTTTCAATCATTTCAAGCTGATAAGATCAATTTTAACAACAACAACAACAACAAATAAATCAACAACAACAACAAGACAATCAATTGAACAACAACAACAACAAAATGTAGATATAAATTCATCTGCTGATAGTTTTAGTGTTAATCTTGATCATAATGAAGATCTTCAGCAACAACAACAACAACAACAATCAAACAAAATAAAAAATTCAGAAAATATTAACTTTGCTGTGATAGAAAAATACTCTAAATCATCATCCAAATCATCATTATCATCATTAAATTCACAATTACGAAACCAACCAAATCCATCAAAATCATCATTGAATCAAACATGTTCAAACCAAATCAATCCAATTGATCAACAACAACAACAAATGGAAATGGAAAGAAAAAATTCAAATGTTGAACAGGAAGAAGAAGAAGAAAATGTTGATAATGAGGATGATGATGATGATGATGATATAACTGAAATATCTCAACCCGCACTACCATCATCATCATCAACATCATCATTGTTTTTACGTGATCTTAAACGTGAACAACTTAGGTAAGGAGATTTTCTTTTTTACAATTTTCAAACATTTTAAACAAAAAAAATCTGTTTCAGATTTATTTTGTCTGATTGTTCAGGCAGAATTCCGCCATTTTTTTCTTTTTTTCTAAACTTTCCTTGATTTTTTTTCCATAATAAATCGACAAATTTAAAAAAAGCAATTCAAAACAATGATATGTGTGTGCTTTGAACCAAAGATTCTTTCTTTCTTTTTTTATGGCTCTTTTGGATATTTGTATTCAGTGAGAATTGAAGAATAGAAAAACAAAATTGTTTGCCTTGTCGGAAAGAAAAATTGATTGCTATTTTCTTTCTTTTTTTCACTGAAAAAAAATTTCATATTTTTCTTTCTTCCTTTCATTTTTTTTTGCTTGCAAGCTAAATTCACAGAAAAAACGTAACTTGCATGGTTGAATTTTTGAATTTATTTGCGCAGCCAAAATTCTAATAAATTTTTTCTTTTTTGTTTCTCTTTCACCACCGAAAAACCAAACCAAAAAACCCCGAATCAGCCATGATAATGGTCATCGTATTATTTGGAATAATCAAAAACAAAAATGTTTCAATCAACAACGAATCAATAAAGGATTGAAAAATCATGATGATTTAATTAAAAAATCTTCAAATAACTGTGATAATAATATTAGTGAAAATAAACAATCATCTTGTAAACAATTTTGTTCATCATCATCATCATCTTCATCGACTGCATCAACATTATCAATGATTTCATCATCATCATCATCATCAACAAATTCCGGAAAATTTAATGAAATTCATCAAAAAAATTTTGAAAAAATTGCCTATTTCAATCAATTGACTGTGATGAGTTTACAACCATCATCCACTTCTAATGTTGTTCAAATAGCCAATAAATCATATGATGATATCATTATGGAAACAGATACTAACAATAACGATAAGATTGAAAATCGATTGTCAACAATTGTAAATAAAACTTTTGTTGTTGATGATGATGATGATGATGTTTCAATAATGGAAAAGAATAATGAAAATGTAAATGTTGATTGTCAACAACAACAACAACAAATAGAAACATCATCTTCAATAACAACAACAACAACAACAACAAATCAATTGAATTCATCATTTTGTTTGTTGCCTGAAAATCATTTTTCCGATATAAATGTTAAAGTAGAATATATTGATTATCCAATAACAACCAAAACAACAAAAAATTCAATCGAAAGCAATTCAATAAATTTGACATACTTGAATGTAAACAACAACAACAACAACAGTGAAAATAATGATCAAAATATTCATAGAATGAATATAGATTATCAACCAGAGAAGCAATTTTTAGATAAACAACGTTCAAATTCATGGAATAATGTTTGTGATTTTCAACGAAAACAACATCAGCAACTTGAACTGAATAAAACAACATCAAATCCATTTGAAAATATGAATAAATCATCAACAAAATCATTAAATTTAACAATGAATAATTATTATCATCATTATCATCATCAACAAAATAAGCAACGAAGACGACGACGACGACGAAGAAAAATTCAAAAATGTAAATTTTTTTACATAAAAAAAATTTCTATATTTACAAAAAGAGTGAATCTCTGATATTTGAAATTTTAATTTATTAGTTTTCAATTCAATTTTTTTTGTTAGGTCAGAAATTCAAAAGTGCAAAGAAAAAAAAATTGATTTTCAATTTTTCTCTGAACTTTTTTTCCTTCTTTTTCCAGATTTCAAACCAGAATTTAAAGAATCAACAATTTTTTTCTTTTTGGTGGGAAATCACGAATGTTGTGAAAAGAAGAAGAAAAATTTTTGAATTTCAAATTTTAATTTTTTCTTCTTTCTTTTGACTCTTTTTTTTCTTATTTTTTTGCTTTTCAATTTTGTGTCGAAATCCAGAAATTGAATCAGAAATTTTTTTTTATTATTGATGTGTTTTTCAACACACATCAAATATCAAATAGCTAACCAACCAACAAACAAACAAACAATGGCGGTCCTGTCAATACACAACTGGACATGATGGTGAGAGAGAGAGAGAGAGAGAGAGAGAGAGCAAAAGAAAAAAAAACGATGAATAAATATTGCATGATCATCACATCTCTTGGGTTCACAGAATTTTCATTGAAAATTTCCAAAATTTGATTTCTTTTTTTTCACGAAAAAAAGAAAGAAAGTAACTGACAAACGTTTGAATTGTTTTTCTTTTNAACAAACAAACAAACAATGGCGGTCCTGTCAATACACAACTGGACATGATGGGGAGAGAGAGAGAGAGAGAGAGAGAGAGAGAGAGAGAGAGAGAGAGAACGATGAATAAATATTGCATGATCATCACATCTCTTGGGTTCACAGAATTTTTTTTCATTGAAAATTTCAAAAATTTGATTTCTTTTTTTTCACGAAAAAAAACTGACAAACGTTTGAATTGTTTTTCTTTTCTGCGATGAAAAACTGAAAAAAACCGAATGCTTGATTCTGATGGATTTGATTTTTTTTTTGTTTTAACATTGAATTTTTCAATTTTTCAGTTTTGTTTTGCTTATCGTTTATTTCCAAAAAGAATATTTATGGGAAAATCTTCACAAGTACTGTTTGTTTAATCAGAATTATTATCGAATCAGTCGAAATAAAACAAAACGAGAAGTAGCTTAAGAGAAAACATATCAGCCAAAAAAACAAACAAACAATTGATCAAAAATACACCGAAATACAATCCGGATAGCCGGACTGAATAGTTTTTCTTTTCTCTTTTTAATCCTGCATTCAAACAAACAGAAAAAAACTATGTATGTAAACAAACTTTTTTTAAACAAAAACTGGACAAACAAACAAACAAAAAAGTAAATAATAGAAAAAAAACTAGAGAACAAGGTGATGTTATTCCAGTGTTCAATATTCTTGTAAAAACATGGAATGAACACAGAGAGAGAGAGAGAGAGAATGGAAACAAATCATATCCAGCATCCATTTTTTTAACACAACAAAACGCAATCCAAACACAATAAATAAATGTGTAGTTGTCGTTTTTTTAACACCCACAAACACCAACAACAACAAACACCAAATTTATCATCATCACTACGAATAGAAAGTTGATTTTTTGAAAGTTTTTTTCTTTTTCTCCGTACATTTATGTTATCCGGCTGTGTTGTGTTCGGTTGTGGTTTTTCGTTTTCTTTTTCACCGTATTCTATGGATTTTTTTTTCTTCTGATCAAGATTTAGCTGGAATATCTTTTCTATAATTTTTTTTTCGCTTCCAGAATATTCTGGATTTTCGGTGACAATCTTTTTTCGTTTTTCTTTCTTTCTTTTGACGATGGATTGATGATTGTGAACAAACATTGTTGTTGTTGTTTAGCCATTTTATTTTCAGTTTTTTTTAGTTTTTAGTTCATTCATTCGATGAAGAGAAAGAAAAAAAAATCAATCAAGCAAAAATCAATCGTTCAAAAAGAGAGAATCCATATATAAATCCATAAATCATCATTGATTGTCGATTGTCATTTACTGTTGTTGTTGATGATGCTATTATCAACTTTCTGATACCGCCATTATTTTTTTAAAAAAAAATTTCCCCATTGAAAATGTTGTTGTTAATCATTTGAAGAATTCCAATCCATTTTTCTTTTCCCTTTTTTTTCGTTTCCAAAAAAAACCCCATTGTCGACAATGATAGATAAGATTAGAAAAAAATAAGAAAAATTCCATTCTTAACATTGTCATCGATAGATCCTATCCTATTACTACTACTACTACTTGATTCTTTGTGAATGATCTAAGAATGTTCAAATGTCAAAGTTAATTTATGTTTTCATCGTTTTCTTTCCCTATCACACACTTCATTGAACGGTTATTCTGTTTTTTTTAATATTAACAATCTGAATTTGATTGAAGAAGAAAAAGATGAATATTTTTGACAAAATATGCATAAAACAAAAAGAATAATGATTTTTCACATTGTTTTCTGTTCCGAAAAAATCTGC